AGTTCACTAGCTGTTTCAGGAATCGATTTTTTTCGGGGGGGGGGGGGGACTACAATTTTTGTTCATTTTACGACGGTAATTTTAAATATAATAATGCTTTCAGGTATAAAATATTACTTGAAACGTGCTCAAATTTGGTAGCTGAAGTGCATATCATTTAATTTAAAAATAATGAATGATTATGTATTTGACTCAGATTGCTCATAGATACAAATAGGGTAAGCGCACCGTCACTATCGGATCCAGAAATTAATTTTGGGGGCTTATTTAATCTAATTTTTAGGATTTAATTTTTTTATTTATATAATATTTAATTTGAAAAAAAGAAAGAAACTAACTACCTATATGACATGGTGTTTAAATAATTCTTGAAATCCTATTAAATGTAATTATACGAACAATAATATTTTAAGAGATAGTTTTTAATATTTTTTTTCTATAAAACATGGTTATATTTTACCATTTTGGGGAGGTTTCAATCCGAAAGCTCCCCCCTTAGATCCACCGGTGAAGGACATAGCTAAGGAGATTTTTTGGCTTATGGAACCGTAATTATTATAGTTATAAACTTCTCCGTTGGACATCTATCCTACATCTATAGAATCTCTAGGGCCTCCTTTTTCTATTTAAAGCTTTAAAATTGAAAAAAAAAATCATTTATGCAGATATAATCTCTATTTAAAATAAAAACACATTTTTGTACTAGTAATGGACACACCATAATTCAACAGAGGGTACCTCAGAAAAAAATCTAAAATCTTTATTTAACTATAAAGATAATATAACATGGAGTTTCAACTAAATCTTAACCAAACTGTTAGTAGGAAGGTACGAAACACACTGGTCTCAAGATCTCTATAGAAACAACAATGATTGGAATTTTAAAATTTTCTTTTAGGACCTTTACGTCTTGTAAGGCCTGAATAGTACAGAAAATAATATAATTATCTATTATAAATTATTGAATACTTAATAGTTGACCATTGTATTATTAAGGAAGGAGATGGTCAGGGGTGGCAGTCATAAATAGACTAAATAGTGGGAAAACTATTTTATTAAATGCCAACGTTTCGACCCGACTTTGCAGGTCTTCTTCAGACCTCCCTGAAGAAGACCTGCAAAATAGGGTCGAAACGTTGGCTTTTAATAAAATAGTTTTGCAACTATTTAGTCTATTTATGACCGCCACCCCGGACCATCTCCTTCCTTATTATAAATTATAAATATCTAATATAAAATTAGTTATATTATTCTGTTTATGATTTGTTTAACCACTCATGAGCGAGCGTATTCAGCGAATGTTGAAAGTAGGAATGTAATTAAAACTAAATACAGACCTAATTTTAAGTGGATAGTCCTAAATCGCTGTTTAAATAAAGGGAGGTTATAGTGTGATCTTGAGATCTTGTCCCTTAGATCTTGAAGTAAAGCAACTTTTTGTGAAGTATTAGCAGACTTAAAATAACTGTTATTGTGTGATAAATTTACTCTTCTAGGTATATAAGTAAGAATAATATTTATAGTAAGAATAATATAATATTAGAATATTTTGCCTAGTGATTTATTCTCACTTAATAATTTATTCTTTATTATAAATTCCCATTCATTCCACTCAATTACATCTTTAGTTACTCTGAGTATCTGACTAGGCCCTCGCTAGAGGAGACTGAAATATGATTTCAAGGAAAATGACAATAATAAAACAATTTAATTAATATGACAAGTCTAATGGAGAATAAGATGATGCGGGATACTGTCTGAAGATGGGATATAAGTGGATCCCGAAACGTTATGATGCAATGATGTAATTGAGTGGAATGAATGGGAGAATCCCTTAGGATAAATGAAGAAAAAAAAATTATTATTAATTTTACGAAGATTAAATGTTGCAATATTTCTGTATATAAATTTCTTTAGGAATAAAAAATGATCAGGATGTGCCGTCGAAAAATTGTGTTTATTGAGTTTGCCGACGTTTCGACTCAAACATGTTGGTCATCATCATATTAGGGACCCATTGGTTATAAATAGTGTTCCCCAAAATCGGTCTTGATCTTGCACTTTGCAAAACCAAGACCAAGGCCGCTTAACTGTTGCAAGACCAAGACCAGGACTGGTAAAAAAAAATCGATTTTTAAAATAAAAATTAAGGCAAAATAATTACTAATACTTGACAATCTTAGTTACTATATGTTAATAATTGGTATAACCAATATACTTTTGCATTTAACTCCTCTAATTTTTCGTTCGGGCTTACTTAGGTTTCTTCTATCTAAAAAATTACAGTAATATCTCTATAGTAATAAGCTAATAAGTAACTGCAAGACTCTTGCGCAAGACCAAGACCAAGACCAAGACTCGTTTAGATCTCGCATTTGGGCAACACTAGTTACAAAGTTCTTGCCCGTTCTTCAAACCATTCCCTTCATGATGACCCACATATTTGGGTCGGAACGTCAACAAATTTAATAAACATAATTTTTTTTACTGCACATCCTGACCATTTTTCATCCTTACAATGCAACTGTCAACTATTTATCCATCTCTGAATAACTTTTAAAAGGGATCTTCAAGTTCGGCTTTAATATGTTGCATTAAATGTTTTTGTCGTGTTCTATCTTAAAAAAAAAAATTTAAAAAAAACTGGCGCTAGATAGAATGGCCACGTGTTGGGCGGCCGATGTTATTATCAGCCGGAAGGACTGGAATTAGTTTGGGCCTAAAGTTCTGCTCCGTCATCCGTGTTTCGCGCTTCGTCCATTCGGTGATTAACGGTCCGTTGGAAACGTTTCGGCTGTCGACGTGAAGTGTACTTTCATTATCTAAAGTGTAAGGCTATTAGACGAAATAGGTTGGACCATCCTATCGAAAAATATTAAACCGATACTTCGGAAGAAAAAGGCGTTCTAGAATTATAATTTAGAAATAGAAAACGTTATTGAATTTACTCGAAATCAGTTGAATATGAAATTCAAACTATTTTGCTTAAAAAATAGATACATATTTAAGATTACACAACACCGAATTTAGCGGCCTACACTTTCTAGATACGATTTAAGTGATAACGTAAAATAAAGCGGGAACCTGCGTTTTAAAAAATTTTGTTAGTTGATTTATTTAAAACTAGCTGATGTACCCGTCGTTGACAGGTGTATAGTTCAAATTTAAGATTTTTTTTTAGATGGATTTTGTATTACGGTGGAAATCCAAATTTACTTTTATAAAAATTGGGTTCTACTCAATATTTTGTTTTTACTCAAAGCCTGTTTTAAGTCAAACAAACCTAAATATAATGTAAAAATTTCAAAAGTCTACCATTAGCCATTGCTGAGTCTATCGTTGACAAAATAACATTGGACATTGAGTCACCTACATCTGTGTAAAATTAAAACTTGATCTGAATATTGTGGCAGCGGGGTGAAATTTTCGGGATTTTTTTTCCGATTTGGTTAATACTAAACATGTATAAGACAACATTTGTTATGTTCGGGATGTTGAATCGAATGACCTCTTGAACGGGAAGATCGGACAAAGTTGAAAAATGAGTATGTTTTACCGGTGTTTTAAGCGACAATGCGTTACAGATGTTCGGGATTTCGGATTTTTTTTTGTTGAGTTGTGATAATTTAATCAGTTGAATAGTACAACTTTTAAATGGGGCTCGCGGTAGAGTAGGTTGGGATGAGAATCGAAGTAACTGCCTAACCGGGATCTCTAGACAAATTACTCAAGAATTCATAATTTTAGTTCTACTCAATATTTTGTTTTCTTTTAAAGCCTATGTTTTAAGTCAAGCAAACCTAAATATAATGTCAAAATTTCAAAAGTTGCTGAGCTTATGCCTAACAAAATTTCGTAAGACAATGCGGACATACAGACAGACTAAAAATTTTTTAAAAGTGGATTTGGTGTCTGTAATGTATGAAACGGAAAGATATCATAAAACGGCTAGATTCTATTCAATGTACAAACAAAACCTTTATTTTATTTATATAGATATTTGATTTTGAATTAATTTATAATGGTGCTTATGTTTATGAATTACATTTATTGTAGCATAATTTTTTTCTTTATTATTTTTCGTATAATATTTTTAGATTAGATGTATAGAAAATTAGAATAATATAATAACGTATATCATAAAAATTACTTTTTTTTTCTGCTAATTTCTGGAATTGACATGTAAAGTTATAATTGATCTAACTTTTGAACAGTTGAAGATAAACTAGTAAAATAAAAAATATTCTTAAAGAAAATTTAACTACTAACAACTTTCTTTCTCGTGACTTCAATATAGAATGAAGCAACCAAGATTTAGCTAGTCAAATACAGTAAAAAAAAATGAGGTAAATTTTTTTGTTACGAATTCGCGATATTATAGGACGGATATCTCTGAAACTAAGCATAAAATATAATCAAACTTATTGCAAATTTTATCAGCTTTAATTTTATATAGAACGTCTTTAACGTTGCGATGGATAGTTTTTTTTATTGATCTAGGGGTGGGGACTTTTAGTATATTTACTTCTTTACTAGTCCAAACAATGTCTCAAAATCAAAAGTTGTTTCCCCGCCATTTTCTTTTTTAATTTTTCATTGATTGGATTAATTGTTGTTTTTGATATAATTCTAGAACAGAAGGTTCCCTCTTTTGGCCGTCTTTTTTGAAATTCATTAGAAAAACTGAAATGTTGGAGTTAAAGTAAAAATAATACCCATTTGTATATTCAATTTGGCCAAGTTGACAAAAATGACTGAGATCTCAATTTTACGGATTCGTCTCCCTTTTCCATCAGTACCAGTACTTACAAATATTTGTATATATGCTTATGAAGATATATAAATATATTGAAATTTAAAGTGCGTGCGTTGAAATACGATCTATATTTATTTATCTATTTTATAAATATTCTAGATCCCGTTTGCTAAGAATATATAAATATCGACAATTAGTTATATCTGTGATAAGAGCGGGATGAGGAGGGACTATTGAGAATCCTATGCTAACCGCCGGAATTAAGACTTCCTGGCTTTGGGCTGTCTTTGTCGTGTCGCCTCATAGATTAGCCGCTGGTGTCACGCTCAATATGGAACCGTTCTAATATATATCTGATTACAAAAATATGAAACCGTTCTAATATATAACTGATTACAAAAATATGGAACAGTTTTAGTATAGAACTGATTACAATAATATGAAACCGTTTCAGTAAATAACTGATTCCAATTTATAGAACAATTTTGGTTAATAACATATTACTAATTATGGAACAGTTTTAGTATAGAACTGATTACAATAATATGAAACCGTTTCAGTAAATAACTGATTCCAATTTATAGAACAATTTTGGTTAATAACATATTACTAATTATGGAACTGTTTTAGTACATAACTTATTACAAAAATATGAACCCGTTTCAGTAAATAACTAATTCCAATTTATAGAACAATTTTGGTTAATAACAGATTTCTAATTATTTAACTGTTTTAACATGTAACTGATTCCATAATATGGAACAGTTTGAGTGTATAACTTATACAATAAATAATAAATAAAATAAATATCATCATTTATTTTTGCCTTCCTTTTTGACTGAATATCCCAACTATTCTTCTCTTCATTATCCACAACAGTCAACCAATTACCAATTATGAACTTATACAATCAATTAAAAAAAAAAAAACCAACTACAGAAATTGGGAAATTCAATCCATCCTAATAGGCTTAGAGCCAGGGCCCAAAAATCGACCTGATTGTAGGCAAAGGAAAGGTTTAATTGTAAATTACGAATGTTATTCTGAGTAAAAAGAACCTTGTCTGTCGTTCCAGAGCCGCTGCTTTAAAAAATGGCGGCTGGTTTAAAGAATATCAGGCCAGTAATTTGATGATCAAATCCGGAAAACTATCGTAAAAAATGTGAGAAAAGTTTTTATTTTTTTAACTTTTATATTCGGGTTTAGACATGAAAAAACAAAATTCTGACCGCGGGCCAAGGAAAACTTTTTAGAACCAAAAATGTCAGATTTTTTCGATATTTTATTTGTTTTTTCACATATGACTCCTAAACGATACATCAAAGCGAAAAATGTACTCTTTGATAAATCAAACAACGTTAAATTGTGAGTCGAACGAGTACATAAGTTGTATTATTTGGTTACGTGGTAAGGTATAAAACCACGGTCAACCAACGCTGATTTAATAAATGAACATGGAAATGAGTTCCCTAAGAGGGAATCCATCAATCCATCCTAATAGCCCTGGAGCCAGGGCCCAAAAATCGACCTCATCGCAGGTGAAGGTTTGATTGTAAATTACAAAAGTGTATGTTATTCTGAGTAAAAAGAACCTTGTCTGCCGTTCCAAAGCCAGTGCATTCAAAAATGGCAGAAAAGTTTTTATTTTTGTAACTTGTATATATGGGCTTAAACATGAAGAAAACCAAAATTGCTAACGCGGGCCACCTAAGGAAAAGTTTTTACAGCCAAAAAAGTCAGACTTTTTTTCACATATAACTCCAGCAAAGCGAAAAATGTGACCTTTAATAAATTAAAGAACATTAAATTGTGCGTCGGACAAGTATAACTTTATAATTTGGTCAAGTTTAACCACGGTCAACCAACGCTGATTTTTACCAAATGTATTAAAAACTGAAACAAATGATTATAAATGGTCCTGTAACTTGGAAATGAGTTCCCTAAGAGGAAAAACCTCTATGATCAAATTTGTAGAGCATCAAATTTTGCGTCCACTGAGTACTGATATTTTTGTTGTATGCCAATTATATATATCGAATCGGGATTCGTTATTTCTTTATGAAATTCGGTATCTTTCGAAACATCATTTATCGCAATCCTTCGCTGCTGAGAGGTGAAAAAGAGGCTTAAACTGCATGTAACAGACTCTAAACAAAACTAAGTTGAATAGACACCCATACTGTTAAAAATTGAAAATCACGTTTACCTTCATAACAAATTTCTAACCATCGGGAGATTACTGATTTTGTTCGGAGTAAGTGACTTACATTAATTTAATTGATATTCACTGAATTTCAAAATTTGATGCTCTGGAACTTTGATTCTATAGGTGTTTCCTCTTAGGGAACTTATTTCCATGTTACAGGGCCATTTATAGTAATTTGTCTCAGTGTTTGACAAATTTAGTGAAAATCAGCATTGGTTGGCCGTGGTTCTATATCTTACCACGTAACCAAATTATAAATTTTATGTACTCTTTCGACGCTCAATTTAACGTTCTTTTATTTATCAAAGAGTACATTTTTCGCTTTGATGTATCGTTTAGGAGTTATAAGTGAAAAAACTAAAAAATATTGAAAAAATCTGACTTTTTTGGCTGTAAAAAGTTTTCTATAGGTGGTCCCCGTCAGCAATTTTGATTTTTACATGCCTAAACCCATGGATACAAGTAAAAAAATAAAAAGTTTTCTCACATTTTTCGCGATGGATTTTCGTTTTCGTCAAATTACTGGCCAAAATTAAATCAGTCGCCATTTTTTAAAGCAGCGGCTCTGGAACGGCAGACCAAGGTTCTTTTTACTCAGAATAACATACTCTTTCGTAATTTACAATTACAAACCTTCGCCTACAATCAGGTCGATTTTTGGGCCCTGGCTCTAAGCCTATTAGGATGGATTGAATTTCCCAATTTCTGTAGTTGGGTTTTTTTTTTTTTAATTGATTGTATAAGTTATACACTCAAACTGTTCCATATTATGGAATCAGTTACATGTTAAAACAGTTAAATAATTAGACTGGCTCCAGGCCTATCAGGTAATGTATTTCCATATCAACTAAAAATTCTGGTAGATTGGTAGGATAATGGACACCTAGGAATATTTAAACTTGGTGTAGTGGTCGGAGTTCTTTCACTACACATTACGGTTTAGGTAAATATTACACAAGTTAAAAAAAAAAAAGAAGTACAAAACTGATATTACTGTATAGTGATTATTCAAAATTGTTCACATCTCATTATTTTTCTAAGAACTTCTTATGAGTTTGATTTATTTTTCCTATGTTAAACAGACTCAGGGAAATGATTCGAACTGAAAAGTCTTGGAAATGAATTATGTTTCGACTCACGCAAGGAAGTGAAAAATTACTTATTTATAATATTTTAGCGCTGAGTCAACCTATGATTGAGCAGCTAATTTACATATAATCAACAGGCAGATATGCATTAGTCGTTTAGAATTTAGTGGAGTAATAACAAAACAATGTACATGTAATTATAATAATGCAACTTTATGCATACAATTGTATAATGTAAAATGCAAGATTTCTCAACGGATCCGAGGAAGATTACCTACGGGTTCCACAAGATTTCATAACAAAATAATTTTTGCAAATATCATAATAAAATAAATCTCTTTAATTAGGTACTAAAAACCCGTAAATACCCATTTGCTTTTTCTTTGACCGTAAGATAATTTGATCACCAAATCTTGGACCGTTTGTCCTATATAACCTCGTTATTTTGAAAATTTGGGAGTTTAGGTCACGCCAAAAGACCATTTTTTTGTCGATTTTTTTATCAAATTATCATACGATCCTAGTAGAAAGAAAATGAGTATTTACGAGTTTTTAATACCTAATTAAATAGACAGAGTTTTCCATCCTCCAGATTGAAAACGCCCCAATTCCGAAAGTTTTCGTAAATAACATAGTTTTAGGTTACGATGAGATGAAACTATTTTCGAAGTTTCAGAGGCGGATGTTAATAATTCGATAAAAAGGGGTCTGTACAACGGATTATTATTCTAAGGGGACTAAATGTTCCAGAATAAAATTTATTTTTCTTCGTGTAAATATTTGGATAAAATTATCGATTTCCAGTTTCTAAAATATCTATCGGTGACCCTACCTTTTCAAAATGTACACTTCAGCCACAGGCGGATTTACGGGGAGGGGGGAGGCTTTCGGGCTGAAGCCCCCCAAAACGATAAAATATAACTATGTTTTATAGATTTTTTTTTAAAAAACTATCTCTTTAAAGTATTATTGTTCGTATTATTACATTCAATTTCTTTCCTTTTTTTTCAAATTAATTATTATTATGTATATGAAAAACAAAATCTTTCGGGCTGAAGCCCCCCAAAACGGTAAAATATAACCATGTTTTATAAAAAAAAAAAATATTAAAAACTATTTCTTAAAGTATTATTGTTCCTGTAATTACATTTAATTTCTTTCTTTCTTTTTTTTCAAATTAATCATCGTTATGTATATGAAAAAAAAATCTTTCAGGCTGCAGGCCCTCCCCCCGAAAAAAAAATTAAATTCTGGATCCGCCAGTGGCTTCAGCAATCGATTGTAGAACTGATAACAACTCACGCGAAGATTCACTTGTTATTTCAGTTGTGGAATTCTTTAGACGTTAATAACTCAATGGCGATTGTGTCATTACCTTCGTTGCATTCTTTGTATTGTTGATTAAAATCTTTACCTGGGAAAACCCGAGTTAAATAGTGGCATTGAACAAGAATTTGTTAAAAGTTAAATTCCATTATTTACAGTGTATTTCACTTTTAATTCACCAAAGAGAAGGATATATATTTTGTTTTGTTTTGGAATTTGGTTTAGGAATTATTGGTTTTAATCTTTCGTTGGTAGTTCTATAGTATTAAATATGGCAACTGGCGTCCATTTAAATTAATTGCAAGTGAAAAACTGTATTCGCGAATAATCTACAAAATTCTAAAAACATAGGTATGAAGTATTTTAAAGAAAACCTGTTTCCCAAAACTTTTGATCTTATAATAAATATCAAATAACAGCCCTCTGTTCTAATAAAATTAAAACGTTTGGGACAAACAAGCCTTACTCTCTTAATACTATATATATGTTTTGCTTGAATTATATTCTTAAATTTACTTTTGGTTAAAAAACTTCCTACCACTTTATAAATTCCATTAAAAATTCAATTATTCAAAATAAATAAAAACATTATAGCAATCATTTTGAGTATTATTTATATAAAATGTTAAATGATTATTTTGAATAATATATTTAGTTATTATGCTCTTTAATACTGTTGGTTAGGATTTCACTTTTATCTGTAATAATAAAAAAACAAACACAATATTTGATCATCAATCCTACTTTATTCAATAATTTCTATGGAAAAATGAAAGAAAGTACCTATATGAAACGGTGTTTAAGTGATTCTTCTCTTGAAGTCCTATTAAATATAGTTACATGAACAATAATACTTTCAGAGATAATTTTTAAATATTTTTTACCATAAAATAAGGTTATATCTTACCATTTTTCTTGGGGGTAGAAGGAGGGGCTTCAGCCTTCAAAATTAGTTAGTCATTCAACTTATGTTTTCTGGATAAAATAATAGCAATTTTATTATAATCAAGTATTTTGTATATGTTTCAGGAAGATCAGATTTTGGAGCCATTGATAATGAAGCCATAGATTTTAGCCAACTAGAAGACTTTATCAACGATGAAACAGACCAGTCTAATTCGTAAGTTTTTTTATAGTAATCGTATTTATGTTATACATAAGTATTTATTTATGTTAATTAAGTCTCATTAAGTAAACTTGAGGCTCAATACATGTTACTTTCTATTTAGAAGTTTATTTATGTCTTGTGATACTATTGTTGAGTGAATGGGAGGAAGTGAGTAAAGTTCTGAATTTCTATGAACCTGGTGTGAATCTCTTGGCAGAAAATAAAAGATTTAACTGGGTGAGAATTACGGAAGTAAATATATATAAAAATCTATGTATGGGGCCTCAATATTTTTCAAAAATATTAGGAATGTGATTGCCAATTCTTATGTATAATATTGACAGTTTTAAAAATCTATCAAAATATGAATTGAAAAAATTCCAATTGTGGATTGAAGGTTTACTGTAGCGAATAATTGAAGAGAACGATGATTGGGGTGATCAGTCAAAATAAAAAATAGTAAAAATAAATAATCATAATTATTTTTATATTTGCCAACGTTTCGGCCCGAAGTTCAGGGTTGTTCAATCCAAGAAGTGTGGAAAGACACAGAAGAAGGTCTTTCCATGCTTCTTGGATTGAAGCTGCATGTGCCAGTAGGATATCCTGACCCCAGGGTCGATCCACAGCTGATGTAACAGAATAAATAATTGCCTACCAAGTCTGGTCTTGAGCATAGAAGCACAATGCCATACTCACTGAACCTCCTTGCTCCCTAATTACTTATATAAAAGAAAATTAATTAAACCAATATTTCTCAGGTATTGTGTTTAAATTAAACACTCTCAATTTGATGTGTGACTGATATTTTTTTTATTATTAAACATAAATCAATTAGTATTTGTTTATAATTTATATTTCAGGTATTTCGGTGAATCACTTTGCACGGACCGAGGAACGAGGACATTGACTGTTGTTAGCCACATCCCTACGAACACATCAATAGATACCCAGCATTATACTCAGCCGTAAGTCAGATCATATATATATATTTAGTTATACGTACCTGTACATTTCCTTAACTTTACAAGAGAGCAGTTTGATCAAATGTTTCCCTTCAAATAAAAATGAGTTTAATGTTCTTTTAATATATATAACTTCCCTCACAATAATTCTAGTACGTAGTTATCTATACCGATGGCTTTGGGGAAGAGAGATTGATAGAGGTAGGCCCAAACCTATTCTAACGAGGGTGGGAAGATCGAGATTCACTCTTTGGGTCTGCTACATTGTGACAATCAGTTTCGCTAGACTTGACGATGTTAAAGTTTAAGCTTTAACACACTCAACCATCATTTTATCTTAGTAATATAGAGCAGCGCATGTTTCTTTTAATTTTTTGGTTTGTCATTAGTACTACCTTAGCTAAAGCTTCGTAGGTGATTGTCAATTCCTCCGGCTCAAACTGTCAACCAGAAGTTCTATTTGGAGATTTTGAAAAGATTGAGGGAATGAATCCGGAAGCACAGGTGACTGGTTCTTCCATTAGGACAATGCGCTAGCCCACACCGCCCTGCCCTCTCTGTTAGCAGTTTTTGACTGAAAATGGTGTGACACGGATTGTCCACCCTTCTCCCTATTCACTGGATCTAATCCCCTGTGATTTCTTTTTGTTTCCCACACTCAAAAGGGACACGAGAGGAAAGCGTTTTACCACTGTGATGGAGGTAAAACAAAAATCACAGGAGGAACCTAAAGAGCATCCCAATAAGTAAATTTAAAAGAACACTGGAAGGATCGTTTGGAGAAGTGCATTGTATTCAAGGGAGAATATTTTGAAGGCGATCAAAATTTGGTATAAAAATATTGGGGAGTAAAGAAGTTATGATGAAATTTCTGTGTTTTTTTTTTTTGGGTTCCCCCCTCGTAAGATGTAAGGATAGATCATTTGAGTTCTCAATGTTTGTAATTCATTCATTTATGAATTGAGAGTGATGTAACATGTAAAAAAAAATATATATATATATATCCAAGACCCTCTTTAATATTCACAAAGAGTCAGATATGACTCGGAAGGTATGTTTTGCCGATTCCTGTTCCATACCTATAAGGTATAGATATATTTTCTTAGATTTGGTTTTAAATATTATGTTTGATTTATGAGTTATTGAAGGAAGTTAGTCGATTATTCTACACATCATGGATGATAGATAATCAGGACGCAGTCAGTTCTTTATGATTTTTATTTGCTGATGTTTCATCTCAAGCTTGTAGATCATCATCAGGTTACCAGCACTGATGATGACCCGCAACCTTGGACAAAAAACGTCGACAAATACAAAATCATAAAAAAACATACTGCGTCCTCACTATCTACCACCCATGGTTGATTTATAAAATTTACAATTATGATGATTGGTTTTGATTTTACAAATTATTTTTGTTTTATTTCTCACATTTTCTAAAATAACTGCATCATTTAGCAAAGCCGTATTGACCAAAAGTGTCTTAATTCATTATAAAATGGGTTCATATTATATCTTTTATAACTAATAATTTTTTTTTTTCCAGACATAATTTACCAGAAAGTCCCCCTGATTCTGGTTCAGAGCCTCCTTATTCCCCTCAAGAAGCGAAACCTCATTCACCCAGGAACCGTAAGTTATTATAACTTTATTATGTAATTTTTTTTTAATTTTGTTTTTCAATTTTTAAATGACATTGATGGTGTCGCCATCGAACCTTCAGGGTTTGCTAAGCCTTTTATTATTATTCTTAAATGAACTTCCTAGAATCAAATCAATAAAGTTACCAAAACTAAGTTTTGACTAAAGGATGGTTTAAGTTAAACCTTTATTTTAACTGCTGTGGGTTTTCTAAACTGACGGAAGTTCTTTTTGGTAAGTCTTTCTTTATTTCTAAAGCCAATCTGTTAGTTAAAATGGACTGTTATCATATTTGAAAATGTTTTCAATTACTTTTAGAATTATAAGTTGCACGAGTGGTGTGGAAAAGTCTTCGAACAAATAACATTTTTATAAAAATGATAAATTTTTATTTATTTAAATGTTATTTTTGTTTTCTATTTAATGTTATTTTTATTTCAGAAAATGGCAAAATATCATATTTTTGACTGTTACCTTGTTGAAAAATAAAATTTTGACTAGTTAGCTTAAACTCAAGCAGTATTGACTAATGTTTTGCCATTTTCTGAAATAAAAGTTATGTTAAATAGAAAACAAACAAAAAATTATAAAATATGGGATGCTAAATTAAATTACAGGGGAAAAAAAAGTGAAAAATTCCAATATTAGAAAAAATGTCTCTGATACACTGAGCTTTCTAGAGTTTATACAATAGCTCTTGACTTTAACAATAAAGAGTTAAGATTTATGTGGACAATAAAGTGCAATTTACTCAATAATTTAGCATTATTTAGAGTATGAAAAAATATCAGATTAAAATTTTGCTTGTTTTTAATAGAAAATAATGCTAATTTAAGTATATATTACATCTACAGTGTCTGTAAGGTTAAATCATTTTACAACAAAGAAGAAAATACACTTTAAAATTGAAACATTTGTCATTTTTATAAAAATGTGTTTCATTTTTTACATAAATTAGGCCATTATTCACCAACATTTTATTTATAAGCTATTAATTATGATGTTTCGACAATACTAAGGGCCATTTTCAAGTCTTAATGAGTCCTCTGTTAGATATTCTTTATTAATGTCACATTAATTTGTTCAGTTAAAATTAACTTGTTCTACTATTTCAGTCCCTCCAGAAATGACGTAGGTGAAACTCCTAAATAGCAGGACAAGTTAATTTTCACTGAACAAATTAATGCGTCATTAATAATGAATATCTAACGGAGGACTCATTAAGACTTGAAAATGACCCTTAGTATGGTCGAAACATCGTAATTAATAGCTTATAAATAAAATGTTGGTGAATAATGGCCTAATTTATGTAAAAAATTCAATCCTCAAGACACCAATTTTAGGAAAAATGAACAGAAGAAAAATGTTGTTTTGTTCGAATACTGTTTTACACAACTTTTTATCCTCTAAAAACCAACTAATATATTTATAATGGTAAAAAATATGCAATAGCTTTTCAGATTTCTTCAATATTTAGGTTAATTAGTGTGCAAAACCAATTAATTTTTTTCTTTTTTATCTATCTGCATTCAGAAGCGAAGGTTGGCGTTGAAGAACTGCTGTTAAGCCCTGGAGGTGTTTATAGCAAGTTACTTACGCCAGGTGATTTGCACCCTGCCGTTCTCGCTCACACACCGTTACACGATCAACCGCTTTCTCCGCTCTCTGGTTAGTTAATTTTTTTGTTTTACATTATAATCTTTTCGTGTATTATGACCACTGTTTTTTATTAATATATTTTTAAATATTAAGGTGGCACGTTGATAGCAACTGGTCCTGCCACTGACGAGTCACCGATCTCAGCTGTTTACAGTGCCTTAAAGAAGAGAAAGTTGAGTCAAGATAATTCCAGTTCTGTTAAAACAGAACCTGGTAATCTAATAAGCAGTGGTGAGTTGATAAAGATAAAATTTTATTTTGAACCGTACAGGAGTATTCCTGCTAATTGCTTGAGTCTTGAATGAATGAAAATGACATTAGTTGCAGTTGAAACCTCTCCTTTCCAATTTTAAGTTTTAGTTGCATGCTTTTCTTTTATTTAAATACTGTTTTAACCCGTAGTGTGCCAACGATAAATTTATAAAATATTTTTAAAAAAGTTATAACTTCATGTGATTTTCCATAATTATGGACAAAAGGAAATTTTTGTTCTCTTTGGGGTCCAACATTTACCAGATTTTCTTCTCACATTTCATTTCACAAGGAAAAAATATAGCAAACATTAAATGAAAACCTCATTATAACTTTCCCTGCATGCTTCTGAAATTAGCACAACTTTTAACAGACCTAGTAACCCAGTAACAAAGTCTAGTGTGCTAATCGCCATATTTAATATTCAAACATTAAATAAATTTCTTGATTTTAAAACAGTGTTGGTTACAAGAATGTTCCTGATGTTTACCAGTAAAGAAAATGTTAAAATACTGGAAATCATGTACATAGGAAAATAGTGGAAAAATATTAATTTCATGAATATCTTTATTTTTTTTTTAAACTAACAAAAAATATAAATTAACAGCAAATATTTCACCTCTTCCTGACTTATATATTTACAACGTCTGCAAAATTATGTAATTATTTTCATTAATTACATTATAACATATACTCCTCCTCCACTTTCTCAATTCTTGATACAAAGTTTTTTAAATAAGCATTAAAAGTATATAACAACAACAAACAAATAAATAAATTTAGAATTTATATAAATATTTATATATATTGGTGATGAATCACTTTTATGTCATTTTCTTACCTACAGTTCTTTATGGATGCAAAACGTGGCCACTTACATTAAGGGATGAGCAACATCTTAAGGTTTTTGAAAATAAAGTATTGCATAGAATATTCGGACCGAAGAAGGATGAATTAACTGGAGAGTTCAGACAGTTACACAACACCGAATCGCGTGAATCATATACGGATAATATAATTGAAATGATTTCATCCCGGCGTATCAAATGGGCTTGTAAAATTGTTGGGCTTAGTAACGAGAGAATTCCTAAAAGGTTAATATTTGCTGTACCTACTGGTAAACGTCCGAGAGGTAGACTGAAGCTAAGGTGGGAAGATTGTATTAAAGCCGATCTGAAGGGACTAGGTTTGGATGGCGAACAGTGGAGGGAGGTGTGTAATAAGCGATTGGTGGCGTCGGCATCGAAACTTCGGGTTCGCTAAGCCTTTTATTATTATTATTATTTTTACTTTTATGTACAATCCACTTATGTGCTAATATACCTACCATAATGCTCCCATTTTGTTTACCTCAATATTGCCAAAACAAAAAGAAAATAATAATAAAACAGAGGCTATACATAGGACCTTTTATTTTTAAATACAAGGTTTCAAATTAACTCAATCCACCATTTTGAAATTTTAAAAGATGACAGCTGATTTAAATTTAAGAACTTGTGAGTTTCTCACACATAGTGTGAACAATGTTTAAATCTTATCTAAACTATTAATTCAATGTCTTTTGTCATTATAGAACTTATAATTGAAGATGATGTCTCTTATCAAGATGGCTCGGCCGAAAACGGAATGTACCTGGATTCGAGTAATTTTCAGTGTATTAGGTTTTCGGCATTTCAACAGACCTCTTGGCACACCCTCTGTGATCATAACCTTAAGGAGCTGTAAGCACTACTTCTTTGTGATTAGAAATAAAAAGATATATTAGTTGTAATGTTAATTTTTTTTTCTTTCTTTACAGACCAACGCCGCATTATCGTGTTGATGCTGATAAGGGCTTTAATTTCTCGAATACGGATGATGCCTTTGTCTGTCAAAAGAAAAATCATTTTCAGGTATACATTTTTTAAATTTATATTATATTAATTATTTTTACTTTTCTATTATCGAAAAAAATATATAATAATTCTGATATAAAGATAAACAATTTTTTATTTTTCAGATTACCTGTCATACTCAGCTTATAGGGGAACCTCATTTTGTGAAGACGCCAGAAGGTCTCCGCAAGATTGAAAATTTCTACCTTCACTTTTACGGAGTAAAAGTCGAATCTCCTTCGCAAACAATCAAAGTAGAACAATCGCAGAGCGATAGGAGTAAAAAGGCTTTTCATCCTGTGCTGTAAGATATTAATTACTAAATGTAATATTCTGTAAGAATGTCTATAATTGTATATAATATTTTTTTCTACTAAAGGTTAATAAGTTTTAAATCTCTAACATCACTGCTGTCTATTTGATGACTTTATATTGTTTAAAAAGAAAAAACTCCCAATAAAAGCATACTTTTAGGGCTCTTAAGGCAGACACTGAGAATCACTTCATTCCAACCACTCTGTACCAAATAGAACGTATTCAGGATATTAAAAAATCATGTTTGTTATTGAAGAGAAGAATAGTTGGGGTGCTCAGTCAAAAAAGGAAGGCAAAAAATAAATTATAATATTTATTTTTTACATATGCCTTTATTGGCATATGTAAAAAATAAATATTATAATTTATTTTTTGCCTTCCTCTTTTGACTGAGCACCCCAACTATTCTTCTCTTCATTATCCACGACAGTCAACCAATTACCAATTATGAATCATGTTTGTTATTAATGTTTACAATTTTAGTATTAATGAGTTTGAAATAGTTTTGAAAATGGCCTGTAGCAGATTTAATCACTACTGTCTGTAAAAAATGGAATGATGGAGTGGAGTGGATCTCTTGAAGTCATCTTCACTCTCTTTCCAGCCTCTCCACTTCATTCCATTATTCCCTTTGGAGTGATCATCAGTGGCCGTCTCAAGTAATTGAATATTTAGTTAAACAAGTTTTATAATTTTTTGTTATTCATTTTTTTAAGCCTTGAATTCAAGGGAGAGGAAGTTTCTAAAGTCACAGTCGGAAGGTTGCATTTCAGCGAAACGACATCAAATAATATGAGAAAGAAAGGAAAACCGAACCCTGACCAGAGGTATTTCTACCTCGTTGTCGGCCTTCACGCACACTGTACCGACTCCTCGCACTACCCTATTACTTCCCACGCTTCAGAAAGAATTATTGTTCGGGTAAGAAACTTTTTCATTACTTTTCATTTGTATATTAACTACTTAGAGGTCATATGCATGTATATGAATGAATGAAATAACATAACATACTAAATATATCATAGTTATTATATCTTACAACATTTAGATAATGGAAAATTGCATCTGTAGAGGTCTGTGAATTATTCCCACAAACTATATTTCATTTTATATATTAAATGCATTACCTGAGCTATATTATTTTCATTAATTACATTATAACATTTCCTCCTCCTCAACTTTCTTAATTCTTGGTACAAAGTTTTTAAAATAAGCATTAAAAGTATATAACAGCAATAAACAAATAAAGAAGGTGTTCCACTAATCGTTCACAAAACGACTTGTTGAGCTCTTTACAATGTGCTTCATATAATTACTTAAGGTTTTCCAGTTAGAATATTTCAATAAACTAAATATTTCTTCAGGAGAACAGGTTTACCAACCAAATCATCTCTGATCTCGCTGAAGACCTGGCAGGCCCCCAAGGAGTGAAATGTGTATTATTTCTCTCCGGAATTTCATACTAGGCAGTTATCGTTGCTCTCATACTGTATTATTGCTATATACTGTAATATCGATTCCTGAATAGTAGTTATTATCCTACTAGTCAACATTTTGTTCCTCCTAGCGTCATCAGTACTGAAAATATAAGATCAAATTACTAAAAACTGAATATACCATATTCCACTTTAATAGCCTAATAAAGACTTACCTTAATACATTTAATTTAATAATTAACTTAATACAACCTAAAACATATACCATAACTTGGGATACTTAAACTCTTGAGGGATCGGACCGAAACTGGAAAAAGTAGCAGGAACATGGTAAAGTGCCCTAGTACCTATTGCTAGGGCTGCTATATATTAAAAAATTGTGAATAAAGTCTCTATTTTCTTAATAAGGAATGAAGATGTAATTTAAATATTTTTTCAGTGTATTTATTATTTTTCTTGGTATATCAGTGAATAATATTATAAAAGACATTAATGAAATTTTAAATATTTCAGGCTTCCAACCCAGGTCAATTTGAAAGCGATGGTGAAGCTGTATGGCAGCGAGGCATGACAGGTGACTCGGTTTTCCATTGTGGGCGGGTCGGGATCAACACTGAGAGGCCTGATGAAGCGCTAGTCGTTCACGGTAACATCAAACTGACAGGCCATATTGTCCAACCTTCAGATATTCGAGCCAAGGCTTTCATTCAAGAGGTTTGTTTAGTTTTTATTTAATACTTAAGAAAGTGTATTTATATTATTCGATCTCCATCAGTCTGTCGATCCCTAATATACAGGTTATCTCAGACAAAATTTCTATCAAAAAAGTTCTTTTGATGCATGGGCCGATTCTAAAAGGAAAAGAACTTAAGACCAATTTTGTGTTTTTTTTAAGCTGGTCAGTTTTTTATTGAATAAGAAGGAATTGTTCAAAAACTGTTCAAGATAATTAAATTATAAGTACATCATAAAGTAGACAAAATTTTTTGAGAAAACTGATTAAATTTACTAAGATTAATGATGAAAGAGACTTTCATAAGGTTTAATTCAGCCGCTGTACTGGTGCAGTTATGGTACCGATACATATATCACAGTGCCTAATATATCTCTGTATTCTCACTGACGATAAAAAATTATTCTTTTTATGATAGATAAGGATATTAAACAAAGATCATAAAACAAATTTTTGTAAACATAAATATTGATCTTCACATGTCTCCTGCAATAATACTTCACTTTCTATCAATGTATTATATTATATGTAGTTTCACTTTCCTTCCAACATTATTGTTTCCCAGTATTAAATAGCGAGATATATTATTAAATGATTATCTAACACCGTAAAAGTTCAAAACCTCTGAATTAACATTCTTTTCTCTTAAAAATAAATGGTTTAGGAACTTAATATGCGAGAAACTTTCTGATTTATCGAGAAATGCATCTTTGCATCATTAGACCTCCTGAAAGTTCCTTTTATCATTGTCCCTAGTAAATTAAAACACTCTTTTTCAAAGAAAATTTTATCTACTTTATTATGGTTAGCTGCAAAAACAGTGACAATTTCGATGATATAAATATAGAAGGGAATGTGTTTGAACACGTTCAGAATTTTAGGTATCTAGGGTCTACGATAACTAGAAAAAACGAAATTGAAGAGGATATTAAGGTTAAGCTGAAGGCGGGAAATGCTTGTTATTTTGCTTTGTCAAAATTACTTAGTTCTCGTCTCCTGTCCCGAAACTTGAAAATTAAAATTTACAAAACCATTATCTTACCTATAGTTCTTTATGGATGCGAAATGTGGCCGCTTATAGTGAGGGATGAGCAAAGTCTTAAAGTTTTTGAAAATAAAGTATTGCGCAGAAAATTCGGACCGAAAAAGGACGAGTCAACCTGAGAATTTAGGCGGTTACACAACGCTGAATTGTGTGAACGGTTAATATAATTGAGGTGATTAAGTTGAGGCGAATAAAATCGGTTGGCTCGGTAACAAAAGAATTCCTAAAAAATTAATATGCTCTGTACCAATTGGCAAGTGTCCAAGGGGTAGATCAAAGCGAAGATGGGTAGATTGTGTTTAGGCCAATTTGACGGGGTTGGGTTTAGATGGAGCCCGGTGGATGGAAGAATGTGGACATCGATTGGTCGTATCGGCATCGAACCTTCGGGTTCGCTAAGCCTGATTATTATTATAGTGGTGTACCTATAATTTAATTATCTCGAACATTTTTTGAGTAATTCCTTCTTATTCAATTAAAAAACGTGTCCACTTTATAAGAAAACACAAAATTGATCTTAACTCCTTTTCCGTTTGGAATCAGCTAATGCATCAAATGAACTTTTTTGTTAGAAATTTTGTCTTGAATCACACTTCGGAGTTTGGTCATTAACGACTGAGACACTCTGTACATCACAATTACAAAATTTTATTTTTTTAAATATAATTGTAAACTAAAAATAGATTAATTTTTATTTATAGGTAGACAGTAAGCAACAGCTTAATAATCTGGCAAGGTTGCGGGTCGTCAAGTACAGGTAAATATTATTTTCAGAATTTATTTTAAAATCATCACTTAGTCATATCTATCAATCTTATTATTTGATGAAATTTCCTTAAGTAAATTAATAAATTAACATATAAAAGAGAAAAACTGAAAGCATTTCATGATACTGAATTAATTAATTTATTTAACTGATTTAAAAGCTCATTCCAACTTGTTTCTGTTCTGTTTAGAAAAAAATATTACAAATCTTTATACAATCTTCGTCTATGCTATGTAATAATTCAGTTATATAGTACATTCCTGGCTCTCAACGAAAAATTTAGATAAATGTTTCTCAGAAGCAACGGATTTTAATGATGAGGTATCAAAGGAAAGGAAATTCCATGTAGAAGTGACGAGAATCCCATTGAGAATTTTGATCCTTAAATTTCTTCAACTTAATAAAAGTCATTGAAATATTGAGAGGTATAGAAATTCAAATGTTTTTTTTTAGTTGGCAGATTAAGATGGAACAAATTGTGTTTGTTAAATTTCGACATAGACATCAAGAACCAGTTCAAGATATTTATTGCACGAGTTCTCGAAAAGATATACTTGCTTAAAGATATTACAGTTACTTAAAGTTCAACTTTGTAAAATCTAATTATCGCATATTACTATACCTGTATCTTTAATTTTATATTGCTTAATGTGATCGATTAATGATGCTTAAGAGAACGCTCTACCTATATTAATTTAAACTAGTGTTCGCCCATTATTGAGGAAACCAAAAATGGATTTGCATGTTTCAAACTTCTTTTTTTACACTTATACATACATTTTATGTTCGCCATTTTGAAACAAAAGGCCAAATGGTAATGAAATCTATAAAAAAACAATTCTGAATTTGATTGCAATGTTGTATCAAAATTTCAAAGCAATTGGTGAACAACTTTTTTTTCTTGTTTTGAGGTTAGCGGTTTTGGACAAACTAACGTTGTTATTTATAATCACTGTTTCCAATTTTTTTTTTATCGATAACAGTAAAGCTTATCAATAGCTACTGAACAAAAAAAATAAAATCATTTGAGAAACAGAGGAGGAAACAGAACTGAACTGTTTTGTCTTTTCCTATTTATTTAATGACAAGTGATAATTATATGAAGTTGCAATTTCAGGTACAAACCAGACTTTGACATGGACGCCAGCTTACACACTGGCCTCATAGCACAGGAACTAGTCTCCGTTTTGCCAGATGCCGTCAGTAATTCGGGTGACATGAAACTACCTTCTGGAAATACAATTAATGATTTCCTCGTCATTGACAAGGTAATGCTATACATTGATATAGTAGATAATATGATAGCTGATCGAATTAGTAATCAAAATGAAGGTCAAATAATGGTGATAATGAATCACATTTTAGTTGTTTTAGTTAGCTTTAAGTAATACAGTCAAACTTGCTTATGTTCCATCTTGGGGCTCGATTAGGATAAACAGAGGTGGCAAGCTGGCCAAGTCACAATAGTTTCTAAGTCTTTGTGTTTAGTGGATCTAATTTTTTGAAGAGAAGGATGGTGATCAGTCAAAATAAAATAGTAAAAATAAATAAATAGAATTATTAATTTTACTATTTTATTTTGACTGATCACACCAACCATCATTTTCTTCAATTATTCACTAGAGTCAACCTTCAACCCACAATTCTAATTTTTTGTCTATTGCGTCCATCATGCAGAATTTTGAAGCAGGAATGTTTTTTAATTAGAAGCTGCATAACCTTTTTTTATTTACATTGGATTGATCAAACTTTTTATTTAAATCAATGTTTTTTATAACTTGAAAGGAATGAAACTGAGAGAATAATTGGATCCAAATTGGAAATATAAAATTTTCAATTCATGTAAACACATACCAAGGAATTACATATCTGTAGACCATTTCCTAACAGTTCTCTATTTAAACTTCAAATAAATTTTAAAAAAGATCTTAGGTACTTGTGAAGACTCTATGGACTGCTATCTGCAGTTATCTTGTTGTTTAAAGTGTTGTTGTTATTTATATTTCTTATTATTAAATCACTATATTATTATTATATTTATATTTCTTATTATATATATATATATATATATATATTATATATATATATATATATATATATATATATATATATATATATATATATATATATATATATATATATATATATATATATATATACATTGTTTAGTTCACATTATCTATTTACAAGAATGCATTAATACATTATTGTTATAAGAATGTTTAAGTATGTCACATTATTATATGTTATTGATTAGAGATGTTATTGAACTAATTATAATGCACTTATGCTTTAATTTCTAATGTTATTACTGACAGGAGCGAGTTTTCATGGAAAACATTGGAGCTGTCAAAGAGTTAGCGAAAGTTACTAGAAACCTTCAGGCGAGGCTACAGGAACTTGAAAGAGTGACGCAGTACAATGGTTAGCTCAGTTTTATTGCCTCTTCTGTTTCATAAAATAAAAATTAATTGTGTTTGAAAATTATTTATTATTATTATTATTATTTTATTAGTTTGTTCTAAGAAGAAGAAAAGTGGTAAAAAGAAAATCGACGATGAAGTTTGTTCTGATACAATGATTCAAACAACAATATACATGCTCATTGTTATCATGGCACTATGGTATGAATTTTTTTTTTCTTTTTTAGTATTATTATTGAAGGAATAAATAATTTTAAATTATCTCATTTTTATTTCTCTTACAGCCTTATTTCTATTGCGACTCTTTACTTTTTGGAAGTACACAGGAGGGGACCCATGACATCACATGTAAACAGGTATACTTTTTTTTTTTCTCGTTCTTTCCTATCTCGCCTTTTAGGCTAAACAGTAGTTTTTCCCAGGCCAGGGGGTGAGGGTGGGGAATTAATGCCAGAGTTGAAAAAGCCCCTGGGCACTGGGACGCGAACTCGGAATTTTATTGTCCCCAGGTTTGGTTATCAGGCGCTGTGCACACACATTAGTCCGCTCAGCCACCCCACCCCTAAACAGCTACACTTGTAAAACTTTGTTGTTTAAATGAAATTCTATTCCATAAATAGTCCATAGTGATTCTTCTTTTTTCTAAATTGTAATTATGATTTACTGAATTAATGCAAATATTTGTAAATAATAATTAACTTTCATTTCCATCTCTTTATTTTTATTTGAAGAAAAATATTTTTATTCTATCTTATAATATTATACTTCTATCCACCCCCCTCCTTCAATAACACAAGCATTTCATCTTCTACCTTAGAGCAGTCAGGTGTGTTATCTCTTTTCTTACTTATTTCAACCTTCTCAGTTTCTTTCCTCCTTCCTTTCATTCCTTTTCTCTGTTTTAACTCTTTATTATTTCATACTTTGTCTGTACATATTGATAGACTTTACAACATCTCAATTTTCTATCTAAATATTCTGTTCACTATATCTTAATTTTACTATTTATTTCCATTTCTTATATAACTTCATATTTTTCTGTTTTACATTTTATTCTAATATTCCCTTTACAATACTTATGTCACCTTTTTGACTATGTTTACTTTATCATTGCACACTTTGTACCTGTTATTATTATTTGTCTCTTGTTCTTACTATTGTCATTATTCTAACAACTTCATTTTATTGTAATTTTTATGTTCCTCATACCTAGTTATCTTGTTCTTTTCTTAGCCCTGATGATGGCCTGAACTTCAGGTCGAAACGTCGGCAAATGACAAAATAAATATTATCATTTATTTTTGCCTTCTTATTTGACTGATCACCCCAACTATTCTTCTCATTATTCACGACAGTCAACTATTTAACCACTATTATGAAAAATATTTTTGTTGATTATAAGAGGCACTATATCATTTCTGTAATTTATTCTAAGGTGACATAAATCCTAGTTCATTTTCATTTCACAATTTGGAATTTAACCCATTGGGAATCCTTTAAGAAAAATTTATTACATCAATCCTGAAATTTGATTTAAGTAGATTTTTTTTAAATGTATCAGCTAGAGACAAAATATTATATTAACACTTTTTATCTGATGCATGGAGGGCAGGTATCTAGTAGTATCAGACAATTGTTAATTATTAAAAAATCATCAATTAAATATAGTGCATATCGTGTGAGCAGTTTGAAATAAACCTATTTACCTGAGATTATAGTAATTACTGAATTACTTAAATTTTTATTTAAAAAATCTTAAAGTTTAATTCAGAAAATAAAAAAAATGCTGATTTAAGCTTTGTCTGCACTCCATTTTATAGAAAAATCGATTTAAGACAACAAATCTAATTAAGAGTTTCACACTTTTCAAAGTAATCTTGTACTTTCGATGTCATAAATTATTTTCTAATCCTGACAATTCTAAAATGATTTTAAACAATTTTTTGTCATTCATTTAGTCCTAATTCCTTTTTATATTGTTCAGTTGTAAATTTTGTTCTTTATTCAATGTTTTTTTAAAAAGTAATATTAATTTTTGTTAAAATTTGTTGTTAACATATATCCTCCAGTTGGTAGATCATTATTTATGTCTAACTAATACTTTTTTATAAGCATTTTTTTTTTTTATATTAGTATCAATAGAACATCCGTGCTGGGCTATGCTGATGATCTGGTACTGTTAAGCGAAGACGTTGAAACTATAAAACTAAATACGACAACGTTAATGAAAGCCGGGAAAGAACTAGGACTCGAAATAAACGTGGATAAAACAAAATATATGGTTAGCTGCAAAAATGGCAATACTACTGGTGATATCGATATAGATGGTAATATGTTTGAACAGGTAGATAAATTTAGGTATCTAGGTTCTACGATAGCTAGAAAAAACGAAATTGAAGAAGAGATTAAGGTTAGACTGAAGGCGGGGAATGCTTGTTATTTTTCTGTGACAAAACTACTTAGTTCGCGCCTCTTGTCCCGAAACTTAAAAATTAGAATCTATAAAACAATTATCTTACCTACAGTTCTTTATGGATGCGAAACTTGGCCGCTTACATTAAGGGATGAGCAGCGTCTTAAGGTTTTTGAAAATAAAGTATTGCGTAGAATATTCGGACCGAAAAAGGATGAGTTAACCGGAGAGTTCAGACGGTTACACAACGCCGAATTGCGTGAGATGTATCCGGGTAATATAATTGATGTAATTTCATCGCGGCGAATCAAATGGGCTTGTAAAGTTGTTGGGCTTAGTAACGAGAGAATTCCTAAAAGGTTAATATTTGCTGTGCCGAATGGTAAGCGTCCGAGGGGTAGACCGAAGCGAAGATGGGAGGATTGCATTAAGACCGATCTGAAGGGACTGGGTTTGGACGGCGAACGGTGGAGGGAGGTGTGTAACAAGCGATTGGTGGTGTCGGCATCGAACCTTCGGGTTCGCTAAGCCTTATTATTATTATTATTATCAATAGAACTCTCAATCTCTTACAAATTAAGTGGGTGGACATTCACAAAACCTTTATTATAAACCGACTGTTTTATATAAACGAAAATATTTTTCAATATTACCTAGATATCAAATTCTGAAAGGACTGTCTATTCGTTTGCTATAATGCTAAGTTATCGACTGACTACACATTTACCAATATTTTTATAAATCAAAAATTGTATGCATGAAATTTACTAATTATATTTTTATAATCTATATATATTATTTCTTTAATCATGTAGATTCTTAACAATATATATATATATTTCATCTTTCAGAGAAAGAAATGTTGAAAGAGCTGTTTTGAATGCTTTGCCTAACGGATCAAAAACTTGGCTTAAACCTTCGATGCAGTCTTATTTTCCTGTGAATAAAGAAAAACTCCTGTGAGTAATTTTATTTGTTTATAAGTACATCAGTATTTAGTTGAAAAGAGTTTCTTAATAACATTATTTATTTTTTTTTTCAGAAATTTGAACAACCCTCCTATAATAGGTTATCCTGCTCACTGTAGAAGTCAGCACGGGAATTGCCAGGTAAAGTTTATATATATGACTTTAAAAATATAAGTCCTTTATATCAATAAAACCCCCAATAGGGTAAAGGGTAAACCTCCACTTAAAATGTTCATTCATACATTATGGAATATCATTCAGTTATTGAATATCATTATGGAATGCCAAATGGTGTTCGATTGCTAAAAGATGAGATTTCTGATTTTTTTTTTCTTGATTATTCCCTGTCTAGCCATTCCAGACATATAGGGTGGGGAGGAGGTGTTCTAGAAGTAGAACCAAATCTATTCTAACAAAAGAGGGAAGGTCATGATTCATTACATGGATCCACCACAAAATATATTTCAACTTGTCCAGGATGGATTCAAACTGCCATCATTTGACTGGGGAATGTTAATATTTAGGTTTTAATACACTTGGCCATCATGACTGTAATGTCAATAAAATTATCTAATTACGGAAAATATATTGCAAGGACAATTTTTGTCTAAAAATCATAAAAATATATATTATATTAGATTATCATTATGTTATATTTTATTATATCATTATACTATATTGTATCATTCTAATATATTAAGTATTGAAATTATTAGAAAAGAAATATATAATTATGTATAAATTATTTACTTGTCATTAATGGTAGTGACTGATAGATATCATCTGGCCAGACGAAATCATAATTATTGTATATATATATATATATATTTTTTTTTTGTCCTTACAGATCATGTAGATCTTTTGGCGCCTTAACAAGCATGCTCCATCTATGCCTGTCTTGGGCTATTTCTTTCCAACTGTTGCATCTTTGTTGATTCTATCTATCCATCTGCTTTTTTTCCTTCCACGTGGTCTTTTGTCTTCTGTTGAGGCATTCATTGTTACGTAGAGGCTTTCAGATGGATTGCTATGAGCTACATGCCCCGTCCATCTTAACCTCCGTGCTGTGCCTTGATATCATGGGATATTGATTGAGCAGTTTCTGTAAGCAGTTCTTCATTGGTCTTTCTTCTCCATGTGTTAGTACTCTGATCTCAGATCGCTCTGGTTATCGTGCGGAGGATTTTCCTCTCCTTTTTCCTTTTTTGTAGGGTGCTGGTTAGTGTTCAGGTCTCACATCCTTGTATTAGAACTGGCTTTATCATAGCATTGTACATCCTTAGTTTGAGATATCTCGTGATTTCTGTAGCTTTGAGAGGGAGAAGAAAGCTCTGTTTGCTCTTGTTATACACTGGTCTATTTCTGCCCTTTGGCCATTCATTGAGGTTATTGTAGAGCCGAGATATTTGAATTTTTCTATTCTCGGGATTGATTTTCTTTCTACGCTTTGTCTGGGGAATGATTTATCTTCATTTACTTGTAAGCCGATCTGCACTGCCTCTGTTATCAGTATTGTAGCGAGTTTATCAATGTCTTCTTGATTACTTCCAAGGACAGTTATATTATTGGTTAATAAACTATGAATCTAGAGAAGATTCCTGATAGTTCATACTTGTAAATGCCCCATGAATCTGAAACGTCAGCAAAAAATAAAAGGATAGTAAAGAAAATGAATATTTTGTTGACCTTTCATAAAAAAATCATTAAACAAATAAATTGTATAGTATAATGCTATATAGCATTGTAGTATTATAGTATGACATTGTAATCTTATAATCACAAATGTTAAAAATATTAAATCTTTCCATGATTATTTACTACAAAAATGTTTTAAAGAAATTGGAAAATGAATTTGGTTGATTATGGAATTCTATGCCTCATATATCTATTTCTATTTAAATCATGAAACTTCAGTCTTGAAGCTTTTAAGAAATATATGAAAATATATAGATATCTCTTGCCTATAAATAAGTAAGGTTCATACTATTTGAGAAAAACTGTTAACAAAGTTTTCAGTATTTTATAACAAAGTTGATATGATCTATCAATATTGAAGTTCAGAATCAGCTATGCCAATAAACCAGCACTGTATTGCTTTTAATGAGGACAGATAAATGGGAGTTAACTTTACAAATTTTAGTTATATATGTCCCTATTTAAAATTTCTTTTACTGTTTGTAATTTCCTTGAAATTAATTGTTGATTTGGTTAAAATTTTATTTTATTTACAGGTTTTTTGTTGCGACCCAGAATCGTCAAAAAACCATCCACTTCATGATATCGATCTAGGTAACCACTTTTTTATTATTAATCATTTTCATTTTCAAAATTAAAAGTTTTTAAGTCTTTATTAAGATTATGTTCTGCAATTACCCAGCCATTTTGAAATATCATTATTTTAGTTTATACTGTTATTTTTATGTTTCAAAGGAACTAGTTTTTTAGTCTTTTGAATCTCATTTTGTTACCTTTTCCTCCATTTCAAATTGTATATATAACCTTTTTGATATTAACTTAAAATGATCTCCATTTGTTGATATTAAAGCAAACAAATTATATTGAGCTTTGAAAAGGACTGTGTGAGGCTGAAATATTGTCTTAATAAAGAATAGAAAAGTTACAATTAAAGAGAAGGATGTTTGGGGTGATCAGTCAAAATAAAAAATAGTAAAAATAAATAATTATATTTATTTTTATATTTTCCGATGTTTTTACCCAAAGTTCAGGCCTTCATCATGGAATAACAACAAAAAAAAAAACAGATAACAAGATATATGAGAAACTATAAACATTGAATAATAAAGAATTAAAATTAAAACGTGAAAGGTATAGACTAAAAAATGTAGGTAGAATAAACTTAAAATAAATAGTTGAAGGAAGCTAGTCGACTGTTCTACATATATTAGGTGATAAATATTCAGGACGCAGTCTTTTTAAAATTTTTTTTTTATTTTTTCATTTGTGCCAACGTTTCAACCCAAACATGAGGGTCATTTTCAGGGTTTGGTTTGAGTACTTGAACACCCTCTGTGCTCAAACCACGCCCTGAAGATGACCCACATGTTTTGGTTGAAACAAACGTTGGCACAAATAAAAAATTAAAGACAAACGTATTATAGCAGAAAAGAGTAGAGTTTATATAGCGCCATCTGTAACGGTTTACTGGAATACATGAACTAAAGCACAAAAGCATATATAATAGACGAGAGGTTTATTATTGATAAATTCTATGAGTTATTAAATAAATGTGTAATTGAAAGAGGACAGAAATAACTTATCTGGAGATGGTTTTTCTTAGCCCTGAACTTCGTGTCGAAACGTCGGCAATATAATTATTTATTTTTAGTATTTTTTATTTTGACTGATCATCCCAACCATCAACCCACAATTATGAAAAGTTTTAACGTTATGATATAAAACTAAACTTAATTTATTATTATTCATATTTGTTCAAATAATTTATCTTTGCAATTGTAAAGTTTTTTTTTATTTATAGGTAACAATTTTCTTGAAGATTCTGATTTATCATCTGATCATCAGGTATGGTTTTTTTTTTTAACTTTTAGAATGATAATAATGTTTATATGCAAACATTTTTCAATAATGTTATTTTTTCTTTAAACAGAGGTATGAATCTTCAGGAATCCAGTCAATCGGAAAATTGAAACCTAGAATACCTCGTCACTCAGGTAATATCAGATAATTATTTGACTATTATTATAATGATATGATGTACCAAAAATTACTATATTTAAAATCATTTAATTTTTATTTGAGTGGTAACTAGAATAGAATAGTTTATTTTATTTGTCTAAGGAAATCCTTGTACCAGTAAATATAATGGTATTATTAACAATGTAAGATCTTAAGTCTATTACTGCGTTCAAACATAACATTGACAACGTCTACAGAATTAAGTATGACTAATATAATAATAGATTAGTAAACGATATATATATATATATATATGGATGAGTCTAGAGCTCTAAGCCTATTAAAGCATTGTCTAGGTAGTCTTTCGTCACTCATTAAGCTTAGCTCCAATAATTTTGTCTATTATCCAATAGCAATAGGTAGCTATTGTGGCCAACATGTTAGATAATTAAGTAATGTTTTGTATCAAGTGTTTCATTTGACTTTTTACAAATTTATGATTTTGGCTCGTCTTTGTAACAATACATATGTCTGTGTTTGTTTGTTACCATTGTCAGTCTCCTAGACATAAATAAATTGCATCAATCGTATTTACTTCTGGTGGCTTTCTGGAAGTAGTTAATGTTTTAGTTTGATGGATAGGTACAGGACAGTCAATATTGTCATGATGAGTGATATACTACATATAGGCATACATTTTCACTATATCCTCCAAGAGGACTTTTGTTTATGTATTTTTTATTCACGATGGGCCCTTAGGTACACAACTGTACTGTGTTCTTTGTTCAACTTTGAACTAATAATCAGAAATATTAATAAGTGTTCATACATAATAATAAATATTTTTTCATTACAAATAATATTTTTCGATTAATTTAAATATTATTATTTTTATTCTTCTATTGAACTTTTGTTTATAATTGTAGATTTTAATTTTGTAATATTGCTGTTTATTGTAAAATTGATCTTTTCTTTCTCCATTGTTAAACATTAATTTTCTCAATTTTTTTTGTTTTATTTTTTCATTAATTGCTCAATATGTTAAAAATATATACTGCTTTCAGATTTTTCTTGTACATTAATTGCTTTCCCTGTTTAAAGTATAATATTAAAATTTGACAATTTATTTTTCATCTTTTACCTCTAATGAAGGATTGGGATAACAAAGAGTTATTAGTATTAATTTTTTTTTCTAAACTCTTAGTTTCTCAGGCTTTGCTAAATAAAAATTACAATGACTAAAAATATCAAAAATTTTATATTTTTTACTGTTAGGCCATACTATATATATAGGCCATGGTACAGACCCCTTTTTTATCAAATTATCAACATCCACCTGAAGTCTCGTAAATAGCTTCATCTCATCGTAACCTACAAATATTTTATTTATGTGCCCAAATTCTCGGAATTGGGGCACTTTCAATCAAGATTTTGAGCACTAAGTCGAGGAAAAAGATAGCCTTCAAAAACATTGAGCGGTCTGGTGTGACCTACACCCCCAAATTGTCAAAATAACGAGGTTATATAGGTCAAATGGCTCAATATTTTTGAAGCCTACCTTTTTCTCCATTTCATGATTTAGTTATCTTACGATTCAAGCAAATGGGTATTTACTCGTTTTTAGTACCTAATTAAATAAACAAAGTTTGACGATCTCCAGATTGAAAACACCCCAATTCCTAAAATCTTTGTAAATAAAGTATTTGTAGGTTATGATGCGATTAAGGTATTTACAAAGTTAATTATTTGAAAAAAAGGGGTCTGTATCACGGACTAATAGAACTTTTGTTTATTTTTAATTGTACTTACTCAGTCTTTATATGAATTTAGTTTAATTTTTCTTTATTTTTTATTTAGTGATAACCTCGAAGCTAATTATTGAGGGTACGGATTTCAACATCACACTTGGTCCAAAAAATTGTGACCCACTGTACCCTCAGTTTGTACAGTGTACTCATTTTACCGCTAGTAACTACACTTATCACATTCCATTAAGCAGATACCTCCACGATTCTATATTGAAGTTCCATTTCAGGTAAGCATTAAGAAAACAATATTAAGAATCTTAATTTATTATTTCAATAGCTTAGAAGCAATATATCTTAACTGTCAAACATGAAGATTCATATTTTTGCGTTATCAATATCTAGAAATGACATGCCATTCATTGGTGTGATCTTATATTTGTGAGACTGATAATTGTAAAATAGAATGTGAGGGCATCAATTATCTGATTAGCGTTTAGCTTTTTATGTTATCACTTGTATTAATGCTAAAGGAGAACAGTCAAAAAACTGAAAAATGTATTTTTAAATGACTCCTTGGCGTTATCAAAAATACACAAAAGCTTGGAGGAATTTAAGATTTTTGTTCCTACTTTACAGATGTTTTGCAGATACACACTTTGTAATCATCTGTTAGTTGTTTTTTACAGGAAACAACTTGATTGAAACGTTGTAGAAAAAAAGTTTTTTAAAATATAATTTCATAATAGTATTTTGTTTAAAATGTTAGAGCCAAAAAAGAAGGAACTTCTGTTTTCATAAAGTTCTAGATTTATGGTAAAAGTTTAACTTTTATTATATTTTATTTAAGTTTTTAAAAAAAGTTAGTTTAGATGAGAATTAGACAGATATTGGGTTAAGATTAGAGTTATAATTTGTTTTAAATGAATATGAACAAAAACTTGATTCTGATGTTTCATTTGTTTGAGGAGCTAGAAGAATACATTTTAGAAGAGTAATTTTTTAGATAGACTTTTTGATGAAATCAACAAAACTTTTAATTAAAAAGGTTTTCCAAACTTTATTTATTTTATTATATTTTAGGTGCCATGTGAATTATATAGGTTAGAGGCGCCTTATTTGTTATTGAATTACATTACAATGTATTTGTAGAGAGCATGTTTATTTTTTTTTTAGATGTGTTTATGTTAAGATATTTCTTTAAAAATTGTGTTGTTACAGCTGCATAGATTGTTTCTTATTTACGTCGTGAGTACTTGTATGAAGATTGTATTCTTTAAATATGTCCATAGTAATTGTGTTTTTCTGTAAATTGAAGTAAGTGCTTCTGATTTTCTGATTGTACGGCTTGTCAATATCCCAGCAGGCGATATGAAGTCCTTGATGGGTCCAAGCTCAGACAATTTTTTAAAATGTGTAACGTTGTTAAAACTATATTGCAGCTGCTACATCTTGGTGGTGATCTACCGTCGAGTAGGTGCCCATGCTTCAGTCTGGTGTGCACTATTCTGAGATGTGTGATAATAGTTAGCTCCCGTCGGTTGGATTCATATTATTAAAAATGCTTTTAATTTTGTTGGTAATAGGAACTCTTGTCCAACAATAGCTCCAGGCCTCTCTACAGTGGTTGAAAACTGAGTTATTGAAATATTAGAGCACTATGTTTATGTCAGGTGATGGAAATATGATAGATGCTTCTTTTGCAGCTATAGCAGCCAGTTCATTACCTCGTATTCCTGTACGACCGGGGGCCCTCAGAAATTCTGTAGCTTTGTTTGTTAGTTGAATGATTTGTGTGATTTGGAAGACAATGGTGTTGTTACGTAATTTAAATTTTTTTATTATCTTGAAGGCCGAGTAGGAATTACTAAGAATTAGAATATGGTCACTGTTAAATCATTGATTATTATACCTAAAGCTAAATAGATGGCAAATAGCTTAGAGTATAGAACTAAGTAAATAGAGTTTTTTTTTAATTTTAGTTCAAAATAAAAGTTCTGTAAAATCTTTATATGAAAAGTTGGATGAAAAAAATTCTAGTTCCAAAATAATAGAAAAAAATTTGAAAATAAAGATTCAAGTCATATTGAAACTAATTAAATGTAAAACTTAAAAATATATTTTCAAGTCCTTGATTTAAGGTTGTACGGTCTTCTGACTTATACATAAGAGCCCAGCGAACCGCTGCTTTTGACAGATCTTTCATTATCCGATCCTCATCCCTTTGGAACTCCGTCCTCTCTCACATTCGTCAATCCAATACCCTTCCTACCTTTAAATCCCACCTGTTCAATCATTTCTTATCCATCCAGTCTCCATGAAATTGTAAATATGTATATAAATTATTAGTTCGTTCTTCATTATTTTTACTTCATCCCTCTTTTTTTTTTAATTATTATTAACTGATTAAAATTAGAAAGTAACTTATAATTTTTCATTTTTTTACTATGACTGTTTAATTACTCAGTATTTTTATTTATGTATCTCTAAGGCTCTTTAGCCCATATTTATGTATTTCTGTATTATTTTAAAGGGACTCGTCCCAGAATAAATAATTATTTCTTATTACTATTATTATTCCATAAAGGCCGGAAGGTATGGGAGACGAAAGCGTGGTGAGGTGTCGTCAGTATCTGGACAGCTGCTCTGCTGATAAGGAAATGCAACAGAGTTCCGTGTTCCTTCTAAACATAGCTCATCTTAGCCAGGCAGTTATTGTTTACAGGCTAGCTTCTTCTGATAGTACGGTAAGTTTAATAATTGTTATATTTTGACTCCTATTTTCAACTTTTTTAAATAAGGAGTTATTGTTAAAAAATAAATAAGATGGTAAAATCTCTGAAATAAATTGAGATAAAGTGATATATTGGGCATAATGTCAATGTATTTTTTTAAAAACTTTTATGGTAAAAAAAAGTTATAATAATTTTAATTTTTTATTTATTGAGTATTACAACAATCTGTCACTTGGACCTTAGTTATAGTGAGGTAGGAAAACATTCACACCATATGTACAAAAAAATATAAAATAAATATAAGCAAAATAGCAATAAATAATAATCAAAAAGTATATACAATAAATAAAATAAAATAACCTAAAAATAAGAGAATTAAAACTAAGCAAAAAACACATGCATACCTATCTACACTACATTAATTTAAATTAGGAAACAAAACTTAATTTAATTTCAGTTGAGTGCTTGGCTATTTTATCATTATTGTCTTAAATAAATTTTTCTTTTTTAATTGATCGTCCACTTTTGATTATTATTTTGTACTTTTAATTATTATTTTGTTTCTATTTATTTTATTTTTTTTTGTACATATAGTGTGAATGTCATCCTACCTCACTATAACCAATGTCCAAGGGACAGATTGTTGTAATACTCAATAAAGAAATATAAAATTGATCGTCCAAAGAAATAAATAGAGTAAATAAATACAAATTATAAAATCGATCATACATTAATCTATTCTTTGCTAGTTCAGGTTTACAAATTTTCCACTTAATAAATGAAATATATGCTGTGATTATATTATTATTTTATAATTCACTGATTTTTAATATGTATCCACTGTTTACTCTTTCAGGATGTCTGTAATTGGGACAGCACTGGGCTCGGAACAGACTTCATAGAATTCAATCTTATTGTTTACAGAGATTGTTCCCACCAACAGACGTATACTAAACACCAGAACTAACCTTTCTCGCCCTATCGCGAGCCTAATATTTTCTTTATTTTATCATGATTTATAATTGTCTTTCATATTTTCTAAATTGCCATAAAATTAGTCTGATTATGTTAAGTTCTTGTGGCCCTTAGCGTTAGTCAATATTATGTTTCCCTATATCTGAGGTTTTTTAAGTGGACCCTACAAGGTCATTGAGGAATGACAGTCTTACTGTCTAATACTAATAACAAGAATGACTTCAATCACGATGGTCCCTACATACATCAGTCAGACTGATGTCATTTTAGCTCAGTTGACATAAAGGCACCAGGCTGTACGGATCTGGTGCATTGTATATTAATATGTTTAATAAAAAAAAAAAAAGCTTGTTTGACTATTATCCTAGAATTATTCTTTGTGCCTGAAAATTGTTTTGATTAAAGTTAAAAAAATATAACCTCAACTACATTAAAATCTCAATAATTTGTTTATCCTGTATATTTATTAATACATAAATCCAGATAATTTGAAATAAACAGCCTTGGTATCCTCAAGCATTCTCTGCTCAGGAAGATCCTCTGCAGCTCTTCTCCATTCTATAGCACCCAGGGAGTATAGAATAAAGTAGAAACGCCTTCGGCTGAGATGTGTCCTATTGCCCCCATCTCTACTGGATCTTATTCTCGTAACTCTCCGCACCTCGCATTGGTTGAAAATTGACTTTTTTTCTAGAAAAAAAAGCCTTGGCAATACAGATCTGTTACTCACAGAAAATAGTTTTGATACTTACTTACTATGTAGCTCTACAGCCCAGGGTGGGCCATGGCTTCCTGAATCATAGCGTGCCAATCATCCCTAGCGGTCTAAGGTCGCTCTCAACATCTTGTAGCCATCTTTTTCTTGGTCTTCCCTTACTTCTTGTGCCGTACATCGTGGAGAACAATGGCCTATAAGGCAGCCTGCCGTGGTCCGTTCTAACCAGGTGGCCTAACCATTCCATACGCCTAATTTTAACGAAATTAACTATGTTGGGGCTGTTATATAATTCATATAGCTCCGCATTTTTTCTATACCTCCACACACCCTCTTCACAAACAGCTCCATAAATTTTTCTCAATATTTTTCTTTCAAAAATATTCATCATACTAATTGTGCTAGTACAAAGGGTCCATGTCTCCGCTGCATAAGTCACAATAGGTCTTACTAAAGTCTTATCTTTGTTTCTCGTGACAGGAGCAATGAACGAAAAATTTTTAGGTTATACGATCTTGATATTGAAACTATCTTAATCAAAACTAAATTTGCTATAAAATTATAGCAATATAGTCCGGATTAACCAGTGGTAAAAGAGACAATTTGTTTTAATTATACTTTTTTAACATTAATTATATTTAAGTGAAAGATTTAAATAAAATACCAAGATATAATAAAAATATGATGGAATTTTGATTTAATGGATCAATTAATAAGAATTTTTAAAATCTGTGAAAAAAAAAACAAGAAGCAACAAAACATTTTTTTAAGGACCATGATCATTTCTTAATGGGTGAGGAAGATGGCCATAACCATTGGCTCCTTCAGAGCATTAGTAAAATTTATTTTACAATAAGAATTAAAAAAATTGTTTGAGATAAAAAATGAAGAAATTGAGAAACAAAAGATAAGATTGAAACTGAAAAAAGTTCACTTCAAAGGTCAATATAAAATTCATGAATACATTTTAATATCATGCTCTAAATTAATGTTTTACAATATGCATCACCTTTCTTATTTTCCGTTTATTAATTGTAATGGTGAAAAAATTATAATTAAAGTAATAAAAAGAAGAAATTCCGTGCTCCGTAAGGGTCTGTCCGAAGAGAAGTAGATCCATTAGTGGTAGGGGTACTACAGCACATCTCCTCTCTAGTTTATTCTATGCTTTGTAATCACACCCAGAAGCTGTATGTAATTCTAGGCATCTTCCTCTTACTCTTTTATCAGCTGAGCATCCCTCTGTTATCTTATTCGGGAGCCTTTCTTGGTCCATTCGATGTATGTGTCCTAACCATCTTATCCTTCCCTTTTTGACACATGAAACTAAATATGGATCTCCATACAGATCTCTAAGTTCCATGTTTGTTTTTATTTTGTTTGCATTTTCGATTTTGGATGGGCCATATACTTTTCTCAGGATTTTCCTCTCCGTTATATTAATATAATTCTTCTGTCGCTTTTTTAGAATGCCAGGCCTCACTGGCATATATCACTACTGGTAGGAGGACGGTGTTATATATTCTTGCTTTGTATGTAATTTCTTGATTTAAATGAATTTTCTTGAGTGCCCAATAGCATTGTTTGCCATTTTTAATCTAGGTTTTATCTTTTATTTTCTGTAACAATCGTGCCAAAATAATTTGAATTTCGTAGCTTTTTTTAAATTATATCTTCCACCTATTTTTAGTAGAAATTAGATCTACCAGTTTTGCTTTCCTTGACTGACATTTGTATTTTGTTTTTCTTGTTTATTTTGAACTCTATATTAATTACTGCCTCTCCACATTCTTCGTATACCTCTCAGGACCAGTTGCTCCAACTTAGTAAAGCTCAGATTAAGTGTCATCTAAGACTAAACCAAGTTTCGGTCAACCGATCAAGATTAAACTTGGTTTAATCTTAGATAATGCTTAATCTAAGCTTTACTGAGTTGGAACAACTCACAACAGGCCCTCAAAATGTATGTTTGAAATTACCAAGATAAATGACACTGGTGATAAGGATTATTTCTGTTTCACTCCTTTTTGTATAGTGAAGTCTGCGGACAATTCTTGTATTCTGTATATGTCCCTCTTGTACTGTAAGGTCATTCTTATCATTCCGATTGAAACGCAATTAGGAATATATGTTGATCATGGGACCTAGTATAACACTGGAAGCTAGGTCTCGTAATTAAAGCTTGGACTTTAAGATTTCTGAAAATCAGTCAGTACAGTCCATCAATCTTAGCCTTAAACAATAATGAATGTCATTCCGACTGACCATATAGTCTTCTTTAAGAAACACTTTGGATAAAATAAATATTTAATTTTATTTTTTCATTAGTTCTATTAGCATTTATTTGACATTGTTTAATACTCATTAATTGTTTCTCTATCAACTTTTATTATTATTATATATATATATACAAACATGCATTTGTTTTTATATTGATTTTTGTTTTATTGGTTAATTTAGTTGGTGGTATGATAGTGACATGACAGACTTAGTTTTACTCCTATACATTGGGGTAATTTGTATATATATTTGTAAAAACATTTTATTGTTTAATTGTAAATTTTAACAAGTATATGAATGAAATTATTAGCTAAATAAATACATTTATATTTAAGAATTGAAACGGAACGTGTATTTGGAGTTATTTCATGTATAGTGGACTATGTTTTGTGGTATATTACTTTTTCAGATTTTTTGCAAAAATTATATTTTAATTTAGCTTAGTCCAGTTAGATTATTATGTATTATTTATTTATTTGTTTTATGTAACTTTGTAAAATTATTTTTTTTTTAATTTATCTCAATTATTGTAGATTCCCTGTATATTGCAGTTAATATGACTGTTAAATTTAATCAGAAAAAATATATCAATATACTTTAAAAAAGTTTTTAGGTAAGTATAAAGGAACGAGATAAGACAGTTGAATTTAAGGTTTTTATTTTGGTTAAAAAGTTTCATTTTTAGGAAAATATCAAGGTTGGGAGAGGAAAAAAAGGAAATAATTTTTATTAATATGAACTCAGTTTAATCTATTTTTTAATATTACTTGTAAAACAGGATGTGTAAAAAAAAAAAAAGACCATTTTTCAATTTAATATTTGTATTATTATTTCTTTGATATAAAATACAAGTAATACTCAAAGTATAGTCCATTGTTATCTACCGTCATTGGCCATCTGCTAGCCAATTGGTCGATCTCAAGCCGATACCATTCTTTAGAATGACTGTCGAAGAACTCTTGGAGTGCAATTTCAACTTCCGCAAAATTATTAAATTTTTCCCCTTGAAGAAAATGGGCCATGGATCTAAATTAGTAGTAATCCGATGATGTGAGGTCTGGACTATATGGTGGATGAGGCAGGAGTATCATATTAGAAGGTTTTTTCAATAAATTTTCTATAAATTAATAAAATGGTGTTATCTTTTAACTATGACAACCGTTTTATAAATTAAAATCTAAAGATACAATATTATCATTATATTAAAGAAATTATTATTTTTTATTCTTCTAGATATTATTTCTATAAAATGGACAATTTTTCTGAAATACCGTCGTTTTTCAGTGATCAACACGATAAGCTGTTGCTTAAACTTTTATTAAAAGTGAATTTTCCTTGTTGAGTTATTGGATATTTTACATTCTACAATGAAAGCATTATTTAAAAAAAATATTTTTTTTGTTATTTATTAATTCTCCACTATTTAAAAATATGTTGCATTTGGAATGTGAACGATCAAAGTATTTGAAAAGTTATTGCATTAGTATTACTTTTGTATATTTATTTTGTATGTATTTTGTAACTTATATGTGATAATTAATTTTATTTCTCATTATTAAAATTGCATTTATTTTGAAAAATATATTATGTTTAATGTATTGTCATAGACTTTAGTAATCTCTATTTTTTTTTTTTTTTTTTGTAATATAATGTTATTGAATTGGGCAATTTTAAAAAAAAAAATGAATGTTGAAGATGTTAGAACTCCTTGATAACTGAGATCTATTAGGATTGATAGATAAGTAAGTGGTACAAATCTGATTGAACTATTCTTTAATGTGTAAGGTTATATATCTATGTGTAAGTGTGTACATCTAATTTAGTATGTAAAAATATTTAAAGTTCTCATTTTTAAATTTACTAAACAGACAATGATATTAGTTTATATAAAGATCCTTATCTGTGTTAATTATGAAAATATCGATGTAAAATATTTAGAATATATTTTTTTTTTGTTAAATTAGTTTTATTTTTTTATTTTATTTTATTTGTTTCTTTTTGTCATGAAAATCTCATATTGTAATGTATTTATGTTACGTATTTAATTTATGTTATAAAAGTTTTTATTCCATATTGTACAAATGTATAATCTATGGTTTATAGTTCAGCTGATTAGGTTTAATTAAAAGTATTACGTCACAGAATTATCAAAATAACTTGATCACTATTATATATTGTACGCGCATGGACACGAGTGTATACAATTGGTTCTTTTGGGCTAATTAAAATTTAAAATCATTGAAACGTTTGTATAAAAAAAAAAATGTAATGGATGGCTACATTATATATTGAGATGTGAGCACAATTACAATCTAGAATTGTAAACATGACACCCTATGATAATTTATAGATGTTGAAATGTTGTATAAAATATAAAATATAATTACTGAATTTATTTTTTATTCTTTGTCCTTTTTCATTTTCCTCGTCTGTAACATTTATTTTTAGTTTTCTATATAAAGGTAAGGAAATATTGCAGTCGGGTCAAATTTTTGATGTTTGGTTCTCAACAGATCTTTGTCCCTTGTTTGTTTCCTAAATACTATACTGAAAATTCTAGGTTGTGAGCCAGGTGAGGAGGCACTTTTTTCGTCTTTTCACTTATATCAGAAGAACTATCTATCACATCCACAAAGACATTCTGTACAAAATTAAAGCTGATAAAATTATCATTATGATTGATTATATACCTTTTTTCATACCTCATTTAGTTTCCGAGATATCCGTCGCCAACTATGGTTATTTTAAAAAAAAAAATTCAGTAAAAGTTAGGAACCGTAGATGGGTACTTATATAAAATATTTAAATTATTTATTTATGTAGCAACTATCAATGTTCAATTAAACATAATTTTTAAAAATCATTGTGATGAAATGCTTTGGCCATGGTCTTGTTTGATTAAGTCTGAAGCTCTCTCAGCTATCATAATTGTTGGAGCATTAGTGTTACCACTTGTCACTACTGGCATGATGGAAGCATCAACAATCCTCAAATTCCTTATACCGTACACCCGCAATCGCGAATCAACCACTGCCGCAGGGTCGTTGTCGGGACCCATTTTACATGAGCCTACAGAGTGATAGATAGTTACTGAGTATTGTTGAAGAAGACATAGTGCATATTCGTCAGACATAATTGCGTAGTTGGAGCATAGAGGAAAAGCATTGGTTTCTAGTTGGGCACCAATTCTTTGCATAGCTTTGGTTTGAAGGAGTTGTGAAACAAAATTAATTGTTCTCATACTTGCTTCAATATCTGTTTGTGTGGATAAGTATTGTGGATCCATGAGAGGGACACTGAGAGGGTTTGTGTCTCGTAACCTCACTGTTCCTCGACTAGTCGGATGGATGTTGAAGACTATAGCTGCCCATTGCCCTTGGTCTTCGTTAAATGGATTGTATGAGGTAAATAATATCTCTGTATCTGGTACTGGGCTATTCCTATTGGGGTCTGCATTAACAAAGGCTGTACACTCAACTCCAAGAAGTGTAGTTAGAGGACCATCACCATTTTGTGCATAATCCAATATAGATGAAAAATTTTCAAAAGATGATCTCCAGTTAATCGTGAAGTTCGATGGGGCTGAAAACAATATTGGAACTCCAACATGATCATGAAGATTATCACCGACCCTGAGATTTTGTATGACTGGTAATCCTAATTCAGATAAATGTTCTTGAGGACCGACACCTGATAACATTAGCAGCTGGGGGCTATTGACAACCCCAGCTGAAAGTATAACCTCCTTTGAAGCCATAATTGTAACATTTTGGCCATTTCTCAAGAATTGGACACCTGTTGCAGTCTTTGTCGCTGGATCTATTATAATTTTAGTTACTCTTGACCTCATAGCAACATGTAAATTACTCCTGTCTCTTATAGGTCGAAGAAACGCTTTAGCCGTACTGCATCTACTGCCATTTCTAACAACTCCTTCACTCAACATGAAGCCTAGTTGTGTAGGACCGTTAGCATCGACTAGTGGGTAGCCCATTTCTTCTCCTGCTTGCAGGTACACATCTGTCATTGGAGACAAGAAGTTTGATCTATTGACTGTTTGATAACCTCCCTGAGCATGATAAGGAGAGCCTGCTACTGCTGGGTCTTGGTTGTCTTCCGATCTTAAGAAATATGGAAACACTTCTTGAAAGCTCCAACCTGGATTTCCCATATTTGACCAATTATCATAGTCTTGAGGGTTTCCTCTGATGTAAACAAAATCATTTAAAGTACTTGAACCACCAAGTCCATGTCCTCTTGGCCAAGTACACACACCACTGCTGGCTAAAATTGAAAGAATTTGTTAATAAATAAGTAAATAGTTCTCCTATTACCTATATTAAGACCTTATCTCAGATTTTAAAAGTTAATAATTAATTGGAAGACGATTATTCTTATGTATTTTAAGTTTTAGAAAGAAAAAATGTAATAAAATATTTCACAATGCAAGTTAAAACTGCCTAATAGAAAAAAAAAAAAGTATAATAAATAACTAATTATATTTAAAATGTTAAATGCCTCATAATTTAAACAATATATATATTTCGTAATTTGATGTTTTTATCAAGCATGTGAATAAATATAACTTACAACCACAGGCATATTCTTGGGCGACTGTTGTATAATTCCAATCGAAGTCACTAAACCAAAGATTATAATTCAAAAGTGGTGTATCTGAAATTGCTGTTTCATCGCCACCAGATTCGAGAAGAAGCACTGTCCAATTCGATATCTCAGTAAGCCTATTCGCCACAACATTTCCTAAAAAGGTATTAATATCATAAATTATAATATTATTATTTTTTTTTTAGTCGTATTTAATTAAGAACAACTAAATTTAACAATCTATCGATAATTAATAATCGATGTTTATTATAAATTGTTTCAATTTCAATTATTGTTTTAAATTACAACCCTGTTCAGAAAATTATTTTAAAGTGAAAACATAGTCCCAGTTCACATATTATTTGTTATAATTTAGGTGCCATTTGCAATTTCATCGGTTAGAAGTACCGTGGAATTTCATAAGAATTCGTGGGTAAAGATTGTGTTGTTTTAGTTGTGATTATGCTGTTAATATATTCTATAAAGATCGTGTTGTTATAGCTGCGTATGTTAGTTCTGATTTACATTTAAGTAAGTATATAAAGACTGTATTGTTTAAATATGTCTTTAGTAATTGTTCAAAAATAGGAACAAATTCTTCAGATTTCCTGGTTGCAGGGCTTATCAATATCTCAAGATGCGATAATTCCTGTCTGTTCAAATTATTTTTATAGTCTCTGTTCGGGCGCCAAATATATAATGTTTTTCATAATATAAAGTAAGGCTGTTTTTATTTCTCGACATTTATTTCAAATTTACATTGTCTATGTTTCGGCTAACATGCCATTTTATTTAATCGTATTTCTTACATATAGCTCATAATTGGATTAAAGTCATATGAAAGTATCGTAATATCTTGTTTCATTTGATACAATAATAATAACATTTGAGTAGAATCAATTCTTGATTAATTGGTGTTTTTCACACTTTCATTAGGGAGTTCGTTATTATTAGTTTTTTTTAAAAATAGTACTGGAAATGAGTCAAAGTTTTAACTCAGTCTTCTTTTATACACTTTATTGATTTATATAATTATTAGATTATTTTATTGATGTAAATTCTACTGATGATGTGCCCCGACTTTAAATTCGACCAGGTCAATTTAGGTTTATCACCGTCAGGTTATTATGCAGGTGTATTATTAATTGAATATTGTATAATTCAGTGCCAAAACTGTCAAGGAAGATCGTGACGTCAAATGAAGGATACTTGGCATTATGAACATCTTTTTATTAGTCTATTGAACTGCTCATTTAGTAAATAAAGTAATAAAAAAATAATTCAAGGTGTGTTTTCAAACTATTTTTTTCCTGTCATCTTAATATTCGATTTATTGTCAGATAAAAATGATGAATGGATTTTGTAGATTAAAAAATACCCCTAAAAAGCATTTAACTCCTAAAAAATGTATTTTCAGAATTTGTTGATAATAACTGCACGTATTTTTAATAATGAAAATAGCTTCATATCATTTATTTCATTTTACAACCATAAATCTGCATTAATTTCCGGATAACCCTATAGATTATAAACAAATATAATTATTAACCAAAAGTAAATGTTACAAATAATCAGTTTTCAATAAATCCTTACATAATAGCTAAAATATATTTAAAGATTTAGAATATAAATAATCTCTCTGTTATATAAAAAGATTTTTAGGGACTTTCATATTTTATTTTATTTTAGTATTAGGAGAGCAGGAGGATTACAAAAGATTGTCTACCGTTCCACAGCCGCTGCTTCCAAAAATGGTGGCTGATTTACAGAATATTGGGCCAATAAATTGAGGGTCATAACGGGAAATTAAATTAGTGGGTATTAAGTTGACGCAGAATTTAATGCTCTACAACTTTGATTCTATTGATTTTTCCTCTTAAGGAACTCATTTCCATGTCACAGGGCCATTTATCGTAATTTGTCTCAGTTTTTGACAAATTTGGTAACAATCAGCGTTGGTTGACCGTTGTTTTATACCTTACCGCGTAACCAAATTATAAAGTGTATGTACTCGTGTGACGCAAAATTTAACGTTCTTTAATTGATTAAATAATACATTTTTCGCTTTTATGCATTTTTTAAGAGTTGTTAAAGGTGAAAAACAAAAAATAACGAAGAAATCTGACTTTTTTGGCTGTAAAAAGTTCTCCCTTGGTGGCCCGCGTTAGCAATGTTGTTTTTTACATGTCTAAACCCATATGTACAAGTTAAAAAAATAAAAACTTTCCTCACATTTTTCACAATGGATTTTAATTATTGGCTTAATATTCTTTAAACCAGCCGCCATTTTAAAAAGCAGTGGCTCTGGAACGGCAGACAAGGTTCTTTTTACTCAGAATAACATTAACTTTCGTAATTTACAATCAAACCTTCACCTGCGATTAGGTCGATTTTTGGTTCCTGGCTCCAGTGCTAAGAAGACAGAAGAGTACGGTATAGGCGGGAAAATGTTTTGCCACTTCGCAACCTCTATCCACTTTCAAACTTATCTTAGATATAGTCTAACTCCCTTGTAATATAAAATTTAAGTTGTTTGTATGTTATATTGTATGTTAATACATATCTAAAATAATATTACATACCTGCTGAGCCTCCTCCAATAATTATAAAATCATATTCTGGAAGAAGTTGTGACGTGGGTACATTTATGGGCCTCAAGTTCGGGTCAATGTTTGGATAGTTGTACAAAGTGACGGCTGCTGTCAGGAGAGTGGAGAAGAGTTGGAAATTTTGAGCGACCCTTTGTTGTTGGCCATCCATACCTTCAATACATAATAATCATAACTAATATGTTTATAGTACAAATAATTATCAATTAAGTAATATCCAATCCGTTGTAACAGTAACGTTGTCCAATAACAGTAACAATTGCCCAGGATGCCCCACCCTAAGGCCGATATAATGTATAGTAAAGATATAAGAATCGATCCCTGCGGTAATCCGGCCTTAAATGAGCGTAAAGAAGAGGTTTCCTATGACTGTACAGATAGGAATAGATAAATAGATATTTATTTTATATATGGCATTTTGTAGGGATGCCATCCCTTCCAAGGTAGATGGCGCATAAACCTTCTTCTTCCCTACCAAGATATTTTATTGCTCTCCTCTTCATATAAACAGTGCAAGGTAAAGTGGCATTTAAAAAAACATAGTTGATATAGAATTTCATTTTCAATGATCTGTTCTATGCTTTCCTCTTGTCACCCGGTTTGAAACTATTTATTCCAAAAGTTCATTATGTGCCTCCCTAAAAAATTCAAAACTACGTCAAAATCTGCCCCCCTCAAAAATTTTGAAGGTGCAACTTGCGCCGTGAAATCCAATTCTGGATACCTCTGGCATCTACCTAATCTTGATAAAGACCTACAACATAGGATATCCAGTAACCATTGTTCCATCATATTACGGTTATAATTGTTGACCCTCAGACTAACTTCTTAAATCAGAATTATAGTCAATCATTTCCATACATAGGCGGATCTGCGGAGGGGAGGGAGAGGGAGGCTTTCTAGCTGAAGCCCTCCCCCTCCACCCCCAAAAATCTGTTAGAATATTGCCCCACCTCTGTTCACTTACCAAATATTGGAGCTCCCAGGCCAAGCAGAGAGAGAAAGAAAGATCAACCACCTACATGCATTTATATATCCATACTCTTAATATTTTATTTAATTTATGAATCTTTTTTTATGTTTAGGAGATAAGTTCTTTTCAAGGCGTTTAAACTATAAATATGACTTTTATGTCAAGCCTCTATATAATAAAAGTATATTTGGCAAGGTTAAAAGCCAGGTGCAAAAAGAAATTTGCTATTCAAAAAGAAAGGATTATTATATCCGACGACTTCGGGGAAAGCTGAACTAATCTTTGGTTTAAGGAATAATTGCTTTTTTATTACATCTGACAAGGGTAGACTTATGAATAATCATTAGTTTTCAATCTTATGAATAATCATTAGTTTTCAATCTTTCTTGAAGTTCTAGTTCAAAGTTTTGTTTCGTTGCACCTGAAAAATTGTTACTAAATATTCTTTAAAAAAATAGATTTTCAAATTAAAATGTATTTGTAGCAATAAATTACTAAATAAAAACAAGAAAACCATTTTTTTTTTACAAATATACAGTTGCGGATTCAAGAATGAATGTTTTTGAGGGAGTGGGATTTTTATTTAATTTTTTTTAACATACGATAATTATTCTTGAAGGAAAATAAAGAAAATATAATGTTCAAATGTTTATTAATATCTAGAGTGTTTATTACTATTACATAGGTTGGAAGAAAGAAAACAATTGTACAATTTTTATTTAAAAAGTGTCAATTTAAATTTATTATATCGGGTATTATACAAATGTGGGAAATTAGCAATATCTTTATTTGCACTTTTGTCGGTGTTTAAACTTAACATAATTTCTAACTAATGTGTATAAAATTAATTTTAATTATTTCAAAATAACCGATTACATTTTGCCACTTAGGTCTTGCATTATTGTGTTATCTTAATTTGTCATAGAAATTAAAGTCTGGATTAAGTAAATATTGATGAAATATCATCACCATATTGCACCTGCTGATTTTAGCCATTTGTGTTAATAATAATTAACTGAATAAAAATAAGGAAATTAAGAATCAACTAGAATATTATTTTAATATAGTTTCAACAAAAT